ATGGGTTCCAGAGGAAAAGTTCTGTAGTGGCTACAAAGGATGCCATTTCTCCAGTCTTATTACAGGACTTTTATTATCTTTAAAATTTTTTGAGAGGACAGATGTAGTGACACAAACCTTTAATCCCAGTACTCAGGAGGCAGAGGTAGGCAGATATCTGTGAGTTTGAGGCCAGCCTGGTCTATACAGTAAGTTCCAGGACAGCCAGAGCTCTATAGTGAGACCCTGTCTCAGAAAAAAAATTGTGGGGCTGAAGAGATGGCTCAGTGGTTAAGAGGACTTGCTCTTGCAGAGGATCCAGGTTCAGTTCCCAGCACCCACAAGGTGACTGGTAACCATCCCTAACTCCAGTTTCAGGGGAGTCAATGCCTTCTTCTGATACCCAGGGGTACCAGACACACAAATGGTGTATGCTCAGACATGCAGGCAGAACACTCATGCACATAAAATAAATCAATCTATACATTTTTCTTAAATTTTGTGTGTGGTATATGTGTATGGAAGTGTTCATGTGTGTGTATGTGTACATGTGCATATATGTACATTTGCGTGGAGGCCAGAAGTCAATGCTGAATGTTTTCTCAATCACTCTCAACTGTATTTCTTTTGAGACAGCATCTTTCGGTGAACCTGGAGCTCACCTATTTGACTCTGCTGTTGGCCAGTGAGTCCCAGGGATGGCCTGTCTCTGTGTCCTCCATGCTGGGACTACAGGTGCATGCTGGCAGGCCTGACTTTCTGTGTGCTGAGAATCTGAACTCAGGTCCTCATGATTGCACAGCCTGACTTTACTAACAGAGCATCTCCTAAGCCACAGTGAACATCCAGCGAATATGACTTGAGAAATGGTGAGGTGCTTATTGATCCCTTACATGGGCACAAGCCTCTGGAAAAGACTGAGAACTCTGCCCCAGGGAGGAAGTGGGAGACTACAGCCCAGAAAGCCAGCCTAGCTGTGACATACTCAGTCATCCTCTCTGTTGAGAACCTGCCCAAGTCCCCTCCAAGGCCTGTTTTTTCCCTCTTCCTGCCTCTGCAGTCACCTTCCATGATGCCCTCCCCACTCTTCATGCTGATGGTTTTTGAAGAGAAGAATTTAATGATCTAAAATTCTAAGAAGATCCTATTCTCACCCAGGGTGTGATAGCCAGGGCCACCCACTACAAGGTGGTCCCTGGCTTGTTCCTAAGATCTTGCATGAGACATTCTCTCACAGGGACCTGAGCTTGCCAATTAGACTAGGCTAGGTGGCCAGCGATCCCCACCTCATCACTGGCATTACAAGCATGTGCCATTATGCTGGATTTTGCATATGAATTCTGGGGATCAAAATCAGGTCTTCGTGCTTAGAGGTCAGGCACTTAATGAATCAGTCACCTCCTCATCTCTGACTACTGTTCCTTTTCACAAGTGTCAGAGCAGGCTCTGAAGTAGGCTTGTGCCCCATTCACAACTGGCATGAGGAAAACCATGTTCTCCAGAGACCTCTTGAATCAATGTGGGAGACAGAATAAAGCCACGGAGAATTTGCAGACTTGGATGGGGCTACGGCCAGCTGATTATTTTTTTTTATATTTGCTTTGAATAGGAGGCATTTCTGACCCGCACGCTGACATTTTTTTAACCTAGTAATAGTGAAGCAATCCCCAGAGACTCTGGCTGCTGGACACTTCATTGCGTGAAGCTTCATGGGGATTTTTGTGGTTTTGGCATACCACGCAACATGCCACATGAAGACTTAATAAGGCAGTCAATGCTTTTACGATCTTCAATGACCATTAAATGTCTCACACAAAAAAATGCTTTTGTCAGCCAAGGCAGCAACAATGTTCTCATAAATTTGAGTCTAGTCAAATAACAAAGATGGACAAAACCAGGAAGTAGTGCTTAGAATTAACTCTTACTTTCTGGCCCTTGGTTTCCCCGGGGAGTTCCTCAAGTCCCTTCACACATCATCCTCCTGCTACAGTGTGACCTTGGGCACGCTTTCACACTCACTCAACTGTGGAGCCCCCACAAGCCCCAGCCCTGTATCACACAGCAGCACCCTCACCTGTGTGAGCTCTTGGCAGTTCTGGCTGAGGGACTCCCTACCCTTCAATCAGAGCCTTTGGAACACAGGCCTTATCCCTCAGCCCCCCTCCTTCAAATTTTATTGCATTGCCCTGTCAAGGTCTTTACCTGACTGGGGGTTTCCTCAGACTGCAATCTGGGCCTGCGGTAGCTGTGTTGCGTACCAACCTCTTCAAACTTCTAAGCCTTTGTGTCGCCCACTTCTGAGTGCTGAGCTACCCCTGGCTTCCCACTGTTCAGAGGCCCCTTTTCCAAATCCCCACCCCCCTACCACCACCACCACCACCACCACCAAACTCTGAGTTTCCTGTCTTTCCCATTTGCCTTTTGCCCTGTCTCCTGGTGCATGCGGGGCAGTAGGTTTTTGTTTGTTTGTTTTTTGTTTTTTTTCTGATTGTGGTGAAATGTGTAACATGAAACTTGGGATGCCAGCACTGTAAGATGATGGTGGTGCTGCTAAGTGCGGCCATCACAGCTACCCATCTCCAGAGAGTTCTCATCTGAATCCACTGTACAGTCTTCATTCCCTTCTCCCCCAGCCACTGGCCAACCTCGTTCCACTCTCTGGTTTTATGAGTTTGACCACTTTAAAAGCCTCCTATCGATGGAGTCAGACAGGATTTGTGGCTTTGTGTCTGGCTTCTTTCACTTAGCACACGGTGTCCTGAAGGCTAATAACTATTAGACTGACTGATATTCTATACTATGCACCATATTTGACTTATTTGCTGGGTTGCTTCTACTTCTTGGTTTTCGCCAATAAAGGTGCCATAAATATGGGAGCATAAAGATGACGTCAAGCCTCTGCTTTTGCTGATTTTGATTATTAAGGAATTGCTGGGTCATTTGGTAATTCTGTTTTTGAACCTGTTTTGCAGAGTGGCTGGTGCTTCACGAGCAGTGCACCAGGGTCCCCTGTGTCTGTATTGTCACCAATACTTCTTGTTTTCTGGCTTTCTGGTGCTAGCCATCCTGTGGGGTGTTAAGTGCTATCTCATTTTGGTTTTGATTGGTGAAGCAATACTGTGGTTGCCTTTTTAGCAACCTGTGGGCAGTGGTGAGTTGAAGAATATGTAAGCATCATGCCTGTGCCCCTCTGTCATCTGCATGAAGAGGGTCCTCTTACGGTCACTAGTCAGATAACAAGAGACTAAAGTGGAAGTGAATCTTGGTGCAGGTGTTTTTCAACAGGCAGATATCACCCACACTGCCATTCAGATCCAGGCACGGGCCTTCAGTGGCTGAAATGGACACGGGGACAGTCTTTATACTTCTCTCCTGGTATTATCATTTGTTTTCAGATGACCTTTAAACTATTCTTGAGTAGATAATGGGCCCTTGTCTGGGTCAAAGTCATCTGTATCCTGCACCACCCATGAGCATTGGTTAGTAGTGGTAGTAATAATTTGGTTTGCATGTTATGTGGACCAGGCTGTCCTCTAACTGGTAATTCTTCTGCCTCAGCTCCTTGAGTGCTAAGATTACAGATGAACTGCCACACACAACTTCACATACTACTTAATCCTATAATACTTGACCTTGGTCCCCTCTTTTTTTCTGGGTCAGAAAAGAGAGCCCCTTTGCTGGAAGTCTGCATGCGGGTCTTGTACAGACCCTAGCATTGAGAACAAGCAGTGATGGGGCTAGGCCAGAAGAGGCCTGGGCAGGAGAGGAAAGGTCAGTAGAGAGGACAAAGCCCAGTCCTACCATTTAGTTCATGCCTTACCTTTCCTCTCCAGGGAGCTCTGGGCCCCCCAACTCAGGACAGCACCTCCAAAAAAATCTTAAGTAGGAATAAAACTGATTCCATTAGTGTTTGTGAAAATTCCACAGTGTGAGAATGGTGATGTCAGTGATTTCCATTGGCCAGAATGAGACAGAAATACAAGGAATCTGGAAAAGATCCCTCAACCCCCTCAAGGCCTTAGAAAGCCAACAATGTTGATGGTTTAGTGTGGACCAAATTGAAAACAGAGACATGGAAGCAGCCGCCAAGCCTGGTGAGGTCCAAGCCACAGGAACCATGGCGTCCAAAGGTCGTTCTGGGATGACTGGAGCCCTTCAAGAAAGATTTCTGGGTGCAGCCCAGCTCCCCAATCTGTAATATGAGAGGGTCCCCAAACCCCTTGTTTGCTGAATGCGTGATTCTTCACTTAATCTTAACCAAAAGGCCAAGAAGCATTAAGAGTCTATGATTCTGGGGAGCTACCAAGGTGTGGTCAGGTCACTAGACATCTTAGGCAGCAAGTCCTTCGATGGTGAGATCATTCAGAAGTGAAGGGTTAGGGGATCAAGACCCAGGGGAGACCAGAGCCAAGGCTGGCGGTGACATGGTCTTCTGCTGACCAGAGTTCTGGGTTAGGGTTAGGGTTAGGGTTAGGGTTAGGGTTAGGGTTAGGGTTAGGGTTAGGGTTAGGGTTAGGGTAGGGTTAGGGTTAGGGTTAGGGTTAGGGTTAGGCCGGCGGTGACATGGTCTTCTGCTGACCAGAGCTCTGGGTTAGGGTTAGGGTTAGGGTTAGGCCGGCGGTGACATGGTCTTCTGCTGACTAGAACTCTGGGTTTTGACTGTGGCTCCATTCTCCTATGTGGGTGGTGCTTTCCTCCGGGGCTGCAGTACTGAACCACCATGCTCAGCCCTCTGCCAGCAGCGCAGAGGAGGAGGAATGGATGCTCCTTCCACATCCCGGGCAGAGCTGCTCTGCTGCAGAGGCCACAGTCCACCTTGCTCGCACCTCAGCCTCCGTACGTCCTTCTGTCCGTCAAGCAGAGGAACACTCCTCAGGGAGCATGTCCTGGTCTCCTATTCCCTGGCCCTCCTTCCCTTCCACTTGGGTATGGAGAAAGGACAGGACAAGAGCAGGATTGGAGGGCAGATGGTGGAAACAGGAGGCCAGGGTGGTGGTGACCAGGGGGCGTGCTCATTGCAGGAAACAGCAGCCACCTTCAGACCAACCTCTGTCAGAAGCATTTGCCAAACCTGTCGCCCAGTAAGTGCCACAGCACTGTGCCAGATACCCAAAAAGAGACCAGTGGCATGTGGGGCCTGATGGTGATTGCTCAGCTGCTGGCCGGCATTGGGACAGTGCCCATTCAGCCATTTGGGATCTCCTACGTGGACGACTTTGCGGAGCCCACCAACTCACCTCTGTATATCTGTGAGTCTTCAGCTTTAAGAGGGCTATGGGGGAGGGGGGGTTCAAGGCTTGATGTGGTGCCCTCCAAAGCTCCTGGGACTGAAATGGCCCCAAGATCCTCTTGGCCCACAACATAGTGGATGATAAAGATCTGTTCTGCACACCAGCAGTTTCCTTCCACTTGTATGAGCCTTGAGTGGCTTGCCCAGGTCTTCAGGCTCTCACCTGGAGGACAGAGCCAAGATTCTTTGTGTGTACCATGTGCTTTGGGATTATAGGAGCAGGTCACCATTTAGCCCTGTTTTGAGCCTTTGCCATGATAACATGACATTGTGTTCTACCAAGCATACTCCGGAGAACCATGCAATTGAGTTCTTGAAATGTAACAACAACAAAACACATCATGTTTTAAGTAAGTTTAAAATTTGTATTGGGCAAGCTCATTTCTAATTTAAATTTTAAAAAATTGTATTGGGCCCCATTCATAACTATCCAGCAGACCATGTGGCCTCTGGGCCATGGGTTAGACACTCTGCTGATCCTCCACGAATCACCCAGTTCTCCAGGCTCACACTGGGTGATACGCTACTCCTCTGAGCTGTGGACAGGCTGTCATGTGTGAAGCAGATGGCCAACCGGTGCTTGATTCCTTCCCTTAGAAAAAGTCACATTGAGCTTTCCAGGACCTCAGGTCACAAATTACATCTCTGACTCCACCTTTACCTGCCAGAGCCAACAGCACTGTGTACACAGCTTTACCCACTAGCACACCCTGACCTGGCATCTTTAAGATGCGGTGGAAGCCGGTACAATGCAGGTCAAGAGATCTCGCTGGCAGGTGCCAGAGGAGCAGCAGGCTCGGTTCTGCCAGCCTTGGCATCTGGTCCTTATCTGCAGGAGATGCAGTAGGAAGTGTCATAGGCATGTCATGTCATTATTCCCAAGGGACAGTGGGCGCTAGCACAGGAATCTCCCTCAGTTGCGGAACATTCTCAATGCCCCTCAACCCCTTATCCCTTGCTTCAATTCCCAGCCATCTTATTTGCTATCGCTGTGTTTGGACCGGCTTTTGGGTACCTGCTGGGCTCAGTCATGCTGAGGATCTTTGTGGACTACGGCAGAGTGGACACTGGTGGGTATGCAGAGGACACTCCTCGCTCTTGTCACCATCACCCCCCCTTTTCTGTTTTGTTGTTGTTGTGGGTTTGTTTTTGTTTTTGTCTTGTTTTGTTTTTGAGACAGGGTTTCTCTGTGTATCTTTGGAGGCTGTCCTGGAACTCACTTTGTAGACCAGGCTGGCCTCAAACTCACAGAGATCCTCCTGCCTCTGCCTCCCAAGTGCTGGGATTAAAGGCGTGCACCACCTCCTGTTCTTATCAACCTTTTACTGGTGCTTCTGATTTAGTTCCTTACTCTTGGCTGCCTAGAGAAACCAGCAATGGGTCCATGTTGGACCATGCCCATCACTGAATGATTGGAAATCATTCTGCCACTTTCTTCAATAAAAGAAAGATTCTGTGTCCATGTTTAATGTCAAGTAACATAATGGAGGTTTCTTGGTGGCGTATAGGGAATATGTTCAGGGAAACATTTGACCTCTTTTGCAGGCCAGGCAACCCACTGTGTTGATGGCTATATCCCCAGGCAACCAAGAATTATGGGCCTGCCTTTCTTAGGGATCCTCAGAAGTAGCATGTAATAGAGCTCAATGGTTATGAGTAGAGGTTGGAGTGAAGGGACCAGACCCTCACCCAGCCCCCTGCTTTAGCAGCCATGACAGGCCGAAGAAAAGACCCAGCAAGACAAAGACCCCTGACTCAGCAACATTTGCTGAGCTCCTGACCTTGCCCGACCTTCCAGTCACTAGAAAGTCAGATACCCTTCATGTGGCAAGGAACCAATCAGAAATTAGCTGGCGGGTTCTGTATGTGCTTTACTGTAGCAGCATAACAACTTCCCTGGGAAGGCCTATAGGCCATAGCAACCAGTTGGCCAATCAACACAAGACAGGTCGCCCAAGCGCAGAAGTGCACCAGTCCTGAGACTGTCACAGACTCCAGACATTCCCTTGCCCTACCCCAATAAATGTCCTCCCTCTGGGTCCTTCTCACTCCACCTGCCATGTTGAACAGATGGATGACCCAGGTTAATACAATTAACTTGTTAATTTATTAAAGGCTCTGCCTTTGCATCGGATCAGGTCTTTTGATTTGGAGTTCAGAATTTGGACACAACAGGGGTACCAGGGAGACAGGTTTGAAATTGACTAGTGGACCAAGGATTTGGTTTCCTGATTGGCTAGAGGGAGTCGGATGTGTGTAACTCTTACCCCACAGACGTGCTAAAGGAGGCAGTAGGATGATGGGGGCAAAATGTGCAGTGCACGAACCATGCCAACCCGCTGGAGACCACATCGTTTTGCCATTATTCCCGTCAACAACTAGCGAAGAAACACAGTGAGAAGAGGGGGTAGGCACTGGGAATTTTCTAGGGGCTCCATGTGCTCTGGGACCACCAGAAAGGCCTGGAGAGGCAGCATTGTGACCAGGGTCCTACATCATGGGGTGTCTTGTCACCATAATGAGAAGAAAGTCAGTGAAATCCCCTTGAACTGAATTTCCCTTTCTAGTCACAGAAATTGAGTTGCACGCATTCAACCAACAGACACTTCCATCCTTTGTCTTCTTTTCAGCGACAGTGAACTTGAGCCCAGGTGACCCCCGATGGATCGGAGCCTGGTGGCTGGGCCTGCTTATTTCTTCAGGCTTCTTAGTTGTTACGTCTTTGCCTTTTTTTTTCTTCCCTCGAGCAATGCCCAGAGGAGCAGAGGTAAGTTTCCCAGAGCCCACGACTCTGTGGGTGTAGATGCTTAAGCGAAGGACACGGGGTTGGAAAATACACAGCTGGGGAAGCTGCAGCTGCTCCAGCAAACTGAGTGACATGATGACAAGTCTCCGGACACAGGGCTCATCAGAGACTGAGAGGAGGTACCCCTCAGTGTTCTCGTACCATGCTGTCATCTCAAAGACCAGAGCGGCTCCAGGGAGCCTAGTTTAGAAACTCCTGGGTTCTCCCAAGAAGGGATAAAGAGTTACGAAACAATAACAATGAACTGTGGGCGGGGATAGGGAGATAACTCAGTCCATAAAGGGATGCAGATGTGAGGACTAGAGCTTGATCCCCACGGCCTCACTTTCTAAAAAAGCCAAGCATGGTGGTGTGCAATTACCATCGCAGTGCTGGGAAGCAGAGAAATGGGAGGATTCCCTGGAGCTTCCCAGACAGCCAGCCCACATGGGGCTCTCCAGGCCACCTAAAGACCTTTTCTTGAAAAAAATCAAAATCAAGATGGCTGGTGCCTGAAGGATGACACCCAAGGTTGTTCTCTGGCCGGCACATTAACACACACACACACACACACACACACACACACACACGCACGCACGCACGCACGCACGCACGCACTCAACATGAGCATGCGATGAGGCGCAGTTGACCTCTACATTTAATAGAGTTTCCTAAGGTTTGAGGCTGAAAGCCGGAGTGGGAAGGGGAGCCCGAGGCATGAAGGTACAGTGAAAGGATGGGTTACGTGCCGCAGGGTCGTAGCTGCTAGAGAAAGGAAGTAGGAAGCTGAGAGTGGGAAGCAGCAAAGAGGGGGCTGATTAGGGCCCTTATGTGAGGTTGAAATGCTTAATGTTTTCTCCTGTGAGTTCCAGACTCTGTAGTGACGGGCCATTCTCCGGCCACCTAGTGACAATATGACAGGTGCTGAGGTTGGGGTTCATGAAGGAATGGAAGTTGGAGATCTGAGAGGCTCAAGAAGGGCCAGGGAAATGGCCATCAGAGCGATGGGGCAAAGGACAGGCTGGTTGTTCCTGGAGGGGTGATGTAAAGATTTGGTTGTGAATTAGGTTGGAACTCATACTTTGTGTCTGGGATTTGAGACAGAAATGGGCCCCACTGTGGGAAAGGGGACATGGGTAGAGGCCTGGAGCTTATCCCAGGGAAGCATTTAAAAGGTTATTGTAACGTTTAGTCTTCCTGCCCGCCATCTGGTTCCTGTTGCTGCTTTCAGCTCCCAAATAACACACAAGACACTATATTAATTATGAAGCTGTTGGCAGTTTGGTTGGTTTCTTATTGGCCAGCTCTGATTTGATTATTAACCCATAATTACTAATATATATTTTATAAGAACTTATCTTTTTGAGGACGTACTCCTGAGCACCCGTTGCTCCGGCAAGAGCTCTCCTCACTACAATTCCCAGAATCCTCCTAGACTCCTAGTCCCATCTATTTTGTTTCCCTATTGGGCAACAGCGCTTTATTTAAGCCAATCAGACACATATTTACAGAATATGTCTCCCAACAGTTTGTGGCATATTTTGATGGGGTGAGTTGGACAGATCTGTGCTTGAAGACGATTCTAGTCATAAGCTAGTCAGATGATCTTAGACAGGTTGCCTTGTTCCTAAGCATCCTCTCTTGTAAAGTTCTTGGGGGTGATTAGAGAATCTGCCTGGGAAGGAATTTGTGTGCAAGCAGGCAATGCATGGGGAATGATGAACATGTTGCCCAGAGCAGAGCAGGTGCTCAGTTAATGGGAGCACCAAAAGATCCTAATAGCAGAGATGGCAGAGCCCATGCCTATGTCTATGCAGTGACTCAGAGACCTGGGGCCTCTGTCTGGAGCTGCTGGCAAGGGCACTGAGGTAATATGCCCAGAAGGCACAGGTAACAGTTAGGACAGAGCCTGGAGCAGGACTCACCTTTGGGCTAACCCTAGAGAGGACACAGAAAGAAAGAGCTGAAAAGGGCAGACATTGGAGACCCCTGTTATCCTAGAAGTCAGCCAGCCATGGAATCTGCATGTGGGACACAGTGTAGTTATGACATACAGACAAGGGATAGGATCCAGGATGATGCTTTTGGCATCAGTCATGGGAAAGTCAGATGAAATAACATGCCCACGGGTACTGTGGGAAGCATTGGCATGGATTAGCTCTGGTCTGCCCTCCCATACATACATGTGATCCTTGAGCCACTGAGTCCAGAGAGTCAAGGGCTCAGGGATGGGCCATTAACATCACCATGTTTGCTGTCTTCAGAGGTCTGTTATCACGGATGAAACAATGAAGATGGAGGAGGACAAGCCAAGAGGCTCCCTGATGGATTTCATTAAACGTAACTGACTGCCCTAGCAGCCTTGGGTGGGCTGGTTCTGGGTGGTAGGAGGCCAGGTTCAGGGTAAAGGGCGACAAGAAACAAGATCTGTGACTGCCTCACCTCCCAGGCACCCCCTCAGTTCAGAGGGCTTCTGCCAGTGGTCCTGGTGGCTGGGTCTTTACAGGTACCAGCAGCCCCTAATTCAGGCAGAGCAGTCCCCGCCCCAAGCCTCCACTTCCAGTCTCTCCCCTTCACTTCCTGCAGAGGTGGCAGTTGTGGGAGGAGACCTTTCCCAGTGTGAGCCCTGTCTCTAGCTACCCAACACCAGCATCATCTTAGTCAGACCACAAGTGTGGTGAGTGGGGATCCAAGGACCGTATGCCCCTGGGATGACTGTTGTGAGTCTGGAGGCCTCTAATCCTACCCTGAGAAAGAGAGAAAGCTTGCCCAGGGGACAAGTCAGGGCGGTGGCAAGGCTCTAGGAAGCCTGTGATGCTCTTCCCAAGGCCTGTCCCCTGACAGCCATCTACCTGCAGGGTTCCCCCGCATCTTCCTCAAGCTGCTGATAAACCCACTCTTCGTTCTGGTGGTCCTGGCTCAGTGTACCTTCTCCTCCGTCATCGCTGGCCTCTCTACATTCCTCAACAAGTTCCTGGAGAAGCAGTATGGCGCCTCAGCAGCCTATGCCAACTTCCTCATCGGTGTGTCAGAGGGTGCTGCTGCAGGGCCTGGGTGGTGCTCCCCTGGGGAGGAGTTGGGTACTGTGCAGTTCAACCAGGGATAACCAGGGGTCAAACCAGACACAGACAGGAAACAGGAAGGCTTGTCCAAGAAAGAACTTTAAGAACATTTTTCCTGGTTGGCAATCCAGAATGTTTTTGGCAGGTTTCTGGGCCTCCCATTCTTCTCTTCAGGAGTGGGTAGAGACTGGGGGCTGCTTTCCTTCCCATCAAGAGGGTGGGGATCTGATAGCCTCCCAACTGACCTTATCAGGGACAACAGAGGAGAGACGGAACATGGAGCTTGAGACATACAAAACGCCTCTTAAGGGGTTCCCTTCTCCAGGAATTTGGGTCTCAACCTAACACGTCAGGTTCCTTTACACAATGACAGTGCAGATGCTCAGCCCCACCCAGATTAATGACCACAGAACCTATGAGGTGGCGCTCAATCGTCTTGCAGTAGATGCGAAGGACCACCGATGGGGGTTCCACCGAATGCCTAGGTGAATGACTGAGCCCAATCCATAGGTGAACTTGACCACACACATAGATTTGACAAGATAATCAGGGCATGAGATGTGATGATGCCTCCCTGCACTCACTGAGCTCTGGTGTAGGCTTTAGTATGACATCATTTCTCTCCCCTTCAGTCTTGAACCAGGGGTTACCACCCAAGAATGATCTACTTCCTTATCCTTATTGTCATCGTCTTGTTTTCAATTAGCCCAGGCTAATTCCAAACTTGGTAGGTAGGTGAGGATGACCTTGAATTCCTGGTCCTCTTGCCTCTGCTTCCCAAGTGCTAGGATTATAGGTGTCAAAAGTTGACTGCTTCTTCCTTCTTTAATCGGGCAAGTCAACCCTTTGGTGAAAGAAATTCTCAGTGCCCAGCCAACACACAGTAGTTATCGATACTTGGTAGTCAGCCACTACCCTTGCACCTGAGTATACCCAGTGTTCCTTTATGAAGCCGTGCTCCTTGGGGGTGGTACAGCTCAAGGCTCACAGGCCATGCATCCAGCCCCTTCCCTTCTCTCCTAGGTGCTGTAAACCTTCCTGCTGCTGCCTTGGGGATGCTGTTTGGAGGAATCCTCATGAAACGTTTCGTTTTCTCTTTGCAAATCATCCCCCGAGTGGCTGCCACCATCATGACCATCTCCACAATCCTCTGTGCCCCTCTCTTCTTTATGGGGTGTTCCACCCCAACTGTGGCTGAAGTCTACCCGCCCAGGTAATGCACTAAGAGATGCAGAGATTCCCCCTTGTAACCGCAGCCTGAAACCAACCACTGTGTGTCTTTCTTTTCTGCCTCATTTACCTCTTTCATCCTCTTCATTTGGATCTGATCTCTCACATGCTAACACAGAAAACCAGGTCTCAAATAGCGTGTTCCATTATGAGACGAGACCAGCTGGTGGTCATGGTTAGGGTTTTGTTTTGTAAGAAGCATCAGAAACGAATCACTTTGGTTTCTGAATGAGCCTGAACTCTAGGAACCAAGAAATAAGTCATGGTTACTGCCAGCTCTGGGCCAACTAGAGTTAGAGCCTTGCTGAGCTGTGGAAGAAAGAGGAGAGAACCCTTGAAAAGATCTCGAGATAAGCAATGAAAGTGGGACAGGGGAGGCAAAGGGCAGGTCAAAATGCCAGTCTGTTTGCATGAAGCATGCGTTTAGAGTCAAGCTTCGCCTTCAGAAAAGGTGTTGCAGCCCTGTGAGCAAGGAACATGCCCATCCCCCACCCCAAGCTCCAGTAAAGGCCATGCAACCTTTTCTTTAGGACTTAGCCTAAGGAGTTTGAAGATTCAGAGACTCAGAACCTTTTAGGCCCCATGTGTTCTATTTCTCATAGAGAGCTACATCTCCAAATATAGCAACAGCATCAGGCAAAAAGTCAAAAGAATAGTTTGAGATGACCTCTGTATTTGATAGGTGAGGGAGGGGAGGGGTGACAAAGGAAGGGAATGTTCCTTAGCATGGGGGATTCACCACTCTTATGCAGGCTGACTGTGGACCCAGAGAAGCCTAAAAGCTTTTGGGCCTTCTTTTGGGTGTTTTCACTGGGAGTTTGGCCTGAGTTCCAGGTATGATGTTCTTTGTTGCTATGGGGACATTATCTACTTAGGCTATCATTTTCTTATCTGCATAAGAAGTATAATTGGTTCTAGGCTTGCTGGGGTGACTGTTCATGAAGAGCCTCTTCCATTATGTTAGCCCATAAATGCTAACAGCCACTGGAATGGTTTCATTAATGCACTACTCAGCTGTGGTTTGTCAGTCCCTGTCACAATGTCCCCAAAGAAGATCAGTAAGAGCCATTGAAATCCACTTTGATGAAGTTCTGGCTAGGATGGGGAAGGGACTAGGGAGACCCAGATCAGCAAGCCCATATTGATTCAGGAGATGAGCAGTCAATGAGAACCCCAGGTTCCTCCGAAGGTCCCAGTCACTGCGTTTAGCCAGAACCTAGCTGGAAGATGGGAGAAGGCAAGTATTACCAATGACATTACTGGGGCATCAACCATTTCTTTCAACAGAGTCTCAATCAGTTGGTCATTTTGATCCTGACAGTGGCATTGGGGTTTGCTGGCTAGACCTTTCCAACTGAGTATTTGATGGGTTTGGGCTCCAGGTGTCACAATAAATGGGAAGAGCCATGATTTCCAAAACAGTGGCAGATTCACAACTGGCTCCCATGCACTCAGTTCAGATCCTTGGGTGGCACTGGCCCAAAACAAACAGAGACATGCAGGCACATCAGCCAGGCCAGGAACTCGTGCTGGGCTGGATATAGTGCTGTTTCTTGGCCTCGCTTTGTTTGATTCCTCGCTTCCTGTTTCTCTGGCAGCACATCAAGTTCTATACATCCACAGCCTCCTGCCTGTCTCAGGGATTGCTTGTGCCCAGATTCCATTTTCCACCCAGTCTGCGGAGACAATGGAGTCGAGTACCTCTCCCCTTGCCATGCCGGGTGCAGCAGCGTCAACATGAGCTCAGCAGCTTCCAAGCAACCGGTAAGGACGAGGGTCACAGGGACAGATAGACCCATGTGGAGCTTCGGGGATCGGGGTGTAACCTCAAGAACTGTTCCTTGGCTCTGGTACTCAATATCAGTATCCTAGCCTCCTCTGCCCTCTCTCCACCTTCCATGCCCCAGGGTCATGACCACATGCCTGCAGCCCAGAATCAATTAGAGATTGGCCCATGACCAACAAGTTCATTCTTGGGGCCTTGGCAAAACAACTGAAACAAGTAAAAGTTTTTGCCCTCAATGGAGACTTATGACTGATACTGATGGCTCCCTGGGGGCACTTCTGGGTTCTGGGTTCAGGCCATGTTGCAGGGTCACATGGGCTGGGAGCAGAGGGACCCTGTGACGTGCACCCGAAAGGTCAGTGCAGGGAGCAGCAGTCAAGTGCCTTTGCTTTGACCCCTCAGCTCCTAGGGGTGCCACAGAGCTGGCCTGAAGCCACAAAGCTATTTAAAAGCAAATCTGGGATTAGAAATCAAAACTCTGCCTCACCTGGTGTTCAAGACCACATGTCTCCTTCTTGGGCAATTTACAGGGGCCTCATGCATCAATCTGTAAGGACAGTGACCCCATCAATCTGTGAGGACAGTGGCCCTGGGCCTTTCAGGTTCATCCATCAGCAAATGACTCCTTAGTCAAGAGACAGAGCACACTGAGTGTAGCCACCATGCTGAGGAAGAGCCTATGACACACAGCGCCGGTCTCACTGTTTACGTTCAGTCCAATAAATGCACATGATAAATGCTGGGGTGAAAGGGGAAGACACTTCACAGCACAGAGAGTATCTGGGGGACTTTCGGAGATGACTTACACCTGAGCCACCAGCAGAGGAAACCTACAGAAATCTGAAGCTCATTGCAGGTAAGGGAAGCTAGGTGCAAAGCCCAGGTGGGAGTTAAGAGGCGTGTCACAGCTAGCAGGGCCAGGCAGGCCCAGGGCTGGGCAGGCAGGGCTGGGCAAGCCAAGCTTAGGAAGTAGACGATCTTCCCCCAGTGAGAGCAATGGGAAGTCTACGCCATTGCTGTAGGATGCACCGATAGGAAGAATGCACTTGTGTGGAAGCCATGGGCCAGGCTGGCTCCCCCGTATCGCCTCTTCTGAGGAGACAGGACAAGGCTGCTTCCCCAGCTGCCTCTACGGGCAAAGGCACGTGGCTCTCAGACAGAGAAGGGTGAGGAGCTAAGACAAGATGGTCCCTTAATTTACCTTCTAACTGGAAGAGTAGTGGCTTCTGTGGTTTTCTTATCTTTATTTACTTACCTCTGACTCATCTACTTCCAGAAATAATCTTGACAAGCTTCCAATAACAGCACAAACACATCAAGATAAAATCCATTACCGTGATATCAAGGAAAAAATAATAAATTATAAGGGGGAAAAGTCTTGATAGTTTAAAATCCAGAGCGAGGGAGGTTAGCAGCAATATTGTGCATTGTAAACTTCTGAGCTTGAAAGCCAAGGTGGATAGGAGCACGGGCTCACTGACAGAGGGAAGCATCCCAGCCAACTAGTTCACCTAGCTCCATGACAGCTACGACACTGACGTCATCACAGGCTGGGCCATCAGCCACTGTAAGGGGAAGGTAAAGATGATCAAATGAGCAGTGGACACCAAATGATGAACAGTGGCCACCAAATGAGTTGTATGATGGTACTGAGCCATATAGAATTACAAGGCAGGGGCCTCCTCTGGAGTCCCCTCTTAGGCCAAAGGAAGCCTCCTAGGTGAGAAGTGCTGCAGGGGGGTTCAAATGACTCCGTTGTTTCCCTGAGTATATCTTCTCCCATAACAACTTGCACAGCCACCATAGTTGGCTGGGCCCAGAGGAGAGCTCTCCCAGACTTCAGGCTCCTAGCTGAAGGGACTTTGCCTGGTGGTGGGAACCTTGGGCATCTGGATGTGGGAGAGACTGCAGGAGTTTAGCCCATGCTAGACTCTTGGTGAAGATTGTTTCTAATACCCAAACCGGGAGAGAGGTGGCACCCCACGGAGCACTCTAGAACCCTCACTTGGCCTCTCAGTCTTCGAATCCAGGCTTCCCCTCCTTCCCTGGGGACTGAAGGGCAAAGGGGTTCATGCTGGTGGGAGTCTGTGGCAAGCGCCTGTGTGGATGTTTGAAACACGTGGAGGTGAAATCATGACAGACCCCCTCCTGTTTTCCTTCAAGAGCTATTTGAACTGCAGCTGCGTGACTGGAGGATCTGCGTCAGCGAAGACAGGCTCGTGCCCCATGCCCTGTGCACACTTCCTGCTGCCCTCCATCTTTCTCATCTCCTTTGTGGCGTTCATCGCCTGCGTCTCCCACAACCCTCTCTACATGATGGTTCTCCGGTGAGTGGTGCCTCCAAGTCTCTGGCGGCTGCTTCTCCACCCTCCCTTTGATGTTACATCCTGTCTTCCACTTATAGTCTCTCCTCCCTCTCCTGGCCCTGGGGGGTCTTAACAGCAGTCTTCAGTGTTGACAAGGCAACAGAGTATGCTAACGGCAGGTGTTCCTGGTTCCAGGAGGAGCTCCTCCTCATAAGGTGGCCTCTCTCAGGCCCCCAGCACCCATGAGGGACAGGCCCTGTTGGCACCTCCGTTCTATTCATGGGAATTTAAGTCATAGCCCAGGATAGCAGAACTGTCAAAAGGCTGAGCCTCGGGTTAAAGACAGGCTATGCATACAGATTCATTTGTTTTTCCATCTTAAAAGAACCAAGGAGACAGAGGAGAAATCAGCTGGATGTACAAATAGCAAGTTAGAAACTGAGGAAAGTTCCAGAAGTGGAGTGAAAGCTGTGGGAAAGGCTGAAAATGAGAAAATCACAGGAGTCTATAGACCCAGTGCTCAGGTTGGAAGAGCCATGCTGACCAGGGACAGGGAGGTATCCAGCTGCAGCTGACAATCGAGCACCTCTAAGGTTTTTATAGTGGGTGCTTCTCCTTTGCCTCATTGTACCAAGGAGGGAAAAAAAAGGAAATATATCACAGCCAGGTTCACCTGACTGCCTCCTGCCCGCCTCCTGGTCCTCCGTACCACCCGTCCCCATCTGCTTACTTGGAAAGCCGAGACGAGAAACACAGACTGGAAACTCCCTGTCAGATTCAAAGTCTCTGCATCATACTACCTGAGTGTCCTTGGGTGTTGTGTGATCTCACAAGGCTCAATTTCCTTGATTAGGGAAGGACAACTGTGATCCCCACCTCCAAGTGTTAGTGTCAGTATTACAGGGTTAATGGCTTTGTAAACAGGTGTTCTGCAGGGTGTGGCTGTGTCTCCTATAAACCTAGGACTTGGGAGGCAAAAGCTGGGGGGTCAGGGGTTCATGGTCACCCTTGCCTACCTAGTAAGTTAGAGACCAGACCAAGCGACATGAGAACCTACCTCAGTGGTTCTCAACCTGGGGGTTTCAACCCCTTCCAGAGCTGAATGAGCTTTTCACAGGGTTCACTTGAGACCATGAGAAAACCCAGACATTTATGTTATGATTTATAATAGTAGCAAAATTACAGTTATGAAACAGCAATGAAAATAATTTTATGGTTGGGGGTCACCACAACATGAGGAAACTGTATTAAAGGGTCACGACATTAGGAAGGTTGAGAACCACTATACTACCTCAAAAAGGAGGTAGGAGGTGGTTTTCTCCATATTACTTTAGACCTATTTTCCCCAGAAGGTTAAGAGATGAGGGAGGACCAGATGCTATGCCAAGCATGTAATTTAGTGACAGAGCACTTGCTCAATGTGCAGAGCCCTGGATGTGAGCTCCAGCACTAGGGGAGAATAAAGCGGCTGCTAGTATTTTACCCTATCCAAGTCAGTTCTCAGTCAAGTTAGCCCACAAGCTGCCAAGACCCTGTCACTCTCACTATTTCAGTGGTGCTGGCAGATGATAAGGAATCCTTGTGTTAAAAACAAAAGATATCATTACAGCAGAGAGCAGCCTGTCCCCTGAAGTTGTATCGATTATCCTTGTCCTCCAGATCTGTCAGAGATGGCACACAGATCCAAACGTGTGCTCTGTGTGCAGTAGGCTTACGTTCCAGCACTGGAACGCTGAGCTTGAGAGAGCCGCTGCTTAGACCGTGAGCCAAGAGCAAGCTCCAACTCATGCCTCAAGGCTGCTCCCTGCAACCCCAGCCCAGGGAAATGGCCCAAAGGCAGCAGTCAGGACCTTATTATCTCAGTAAGGATGGGTATGAATGCTCAGAGCTGGCAGCATGATGCCGCCCCCCAAATCCTGTCACCTTCTTCCTTACTGCCCCCACCCTGTGTTCCCCAAGGACTGACCCTGCACTTCAGTGGGGTTCCCTTCTTTCCTGCTGGGTTAGGTAGGCTCTGGCCCTACCTTCTGACGATGACATAACCCTGCGTGAGGCCCTGAAGAGGAGAGAGCAAGGGAAGGGAATCTGATAGGCAATTCGATCCCTATCAAGCACCTCCCTGAGTTGTGGAGACCAGCATCAGTTCAAGACTGGCTGGTCTAGAGTAGAATGAGAGAGGAGGGTCCAGGACCCCAAGGTGGTTTAAAGATACATCCACTGGGGAAAAGACGGCCCCTGGGGTACTCCAGTGGGGTTCCCATCTTGCACAGGCACTAGCTTTTGCTAACTTAAGGTAACTTGGCAAATGCCCCAATTGTTAGTTATTAGTCCTGGTTCAAACCAGGCCCCAGATTGCAGCCTGGGAGCAGAGGTCAGCTGACAATGAGAAAGAGTGGTCAGAAACCCAGGATTAACTCAGGGATAGATGGGGAAGCACCTAGAAGGGGTCTGGGAGCTTGGTCAATAGCCAAACTGGGGTGTCCGAGTCTTACTAAGTTAAAACACAAAGGGATCCATTTGTCCAGGTGAAGGACAAAGACAAGGGAGCAATGCATTATTTTTCCTGTTGCTGAGACAAAATGTCTGGCAAAAGCAACTTAAGGAAGGAAGGTCTTACCTTGGCTCCCTGGCCAAGGATACAGTCCATCATGGCAGGGGAGGCATGATGGCAAGAGTGGTCTAAATGTGGAGTAGTCAGAAAATGAACACTGATATGAAGTTCGCCTTTGTCTTTCCATTCAGTCCAGGACCCCACACTATTAAAAGACACCATGAACATTCAGGGTAGGTCTTCCAAATTTAACCAAACCTTTCTGGATACATCCTCATGGATGCACCAAGGGGTCTGTGTCCCAGATGATTCCAGGTCCGTAAGTTGTTCTTGAAGATTAGGCATCCATTATAGATTGGGCCATTGAAGGTCATTGTAGACACAAGGGAAAGAACCTCCATTCAGTCAGGGTACCAGGCACTGTCCACTAGGCTACCCAAGATGGTGCCTCTTTCTCCCACTTGTACCCCGAAGAGCATCCCTTCACTGGGTCATCCCTCTGGGGATGTCTGTCATTTGCTGACCGACTTTGGTGGCAGGTGTAAAACACCCGCAGTGATCTGGAGGTCACTGTGGAGTCCTCATCCTCACTGTCCCCTCAGCTCTGAATCCTTTTCCAAATGGCAATCACCTACCCTGGTGAATGTGTGCTGAAAGCCTGGCGAGGTCAGAGTCTGGTCACACAGCAGGTGCTTCCACCATTGCCCTGGACTCCCCGCCCTGTGTGTGCGATGTCCCCCCTCTTTCCACTCTCCAGCTGAGGAGGGGGCTCTCAAGGCAGAACCGAACCTCTTTACCTGGTGCCACCTTCTCCCTCTTGAAAAAGAAAGGGTGGAAGGGAGGACCACGTGCAAAAGCGACAGGACCTGGTGAAAATGAAATTGTAAAGCCGTTGACTTGTGAATTAATAAGAATTTCAAGTCATACATAAACTAAAGCCTTTCTGGGGGTGGCATCCTATACAGCTGCTGAAGTCATACCTCACAAAGCTAGCCCAGGGCAAGGAATTTTTTCAGAGCTGCACAGAAGCTGAGATCTCAGCGCCCTCTTTTCCTGGTACAAGACACTCTATGGGTGTTGTTCAGACCTGCTGCCTAAGCATCCGGCCAGAAATTCCTGTCGGCTCCCTGTCTCTCTTGCCTACTTTCTCTCCAGGCAGTCTCCGGAAGGCCCTGAAAACAACACAGACCATTGGTTCTTGGACTCAAGTTTTTACATCCAGCTCTCCAGGAACACAGTGTGTCTTGAATAAATGTCAGGCTGAGAGTCTGTAGTTCGAATACTAGTTAGCTTAGGTGATGCCACTACTGTCACCTCAGTGCTTTCAGAGCCCTGGGTAACAGGAGGCTTTAGCCAGGTGAAGCTCACCATCCAATGCCTGATCAGACTACAGGAGGACTGGCTCCGACCTGTTCTGAGCTGTCTGTTCCTCACACCCCACTCCCTCCAGGTGATGCTGCAGCCCAGAGTCCTCCCAGTGCTGATTTCCTGTTTTCCTTTTCAGTGTGGTGAACCAAGATGAAAAGTCATTTGCCATCGGGGTACAGTTCTTGCTGATGCGCTTGCTGGGTAGGTAACTATGACCTTTCCTTCTGGAGTAGAGGCCCTGGACCATGGGCATCGAAAGGCTATGGGGGGCAGGGCAGGGTCGGCTAGACAGAACCCACAGCAGGTACCAAACCCCGACAGGGACAGGTCGCCTAATTGCTTGAGATCGGGAAAGAGTTCGTCTATGGCATTCAATCAAAACTGAAGTATGTGAGAATAAGAAAAAAGGGCATAGCTGAGAACACTGAATACGGAGTTAAAAGCAGGTATTTTTAAACCTTCTCCAAGAATCCGCCCTAGGAAACAAAACCTTGCATTCCTGCCCCAGACAGAGCAGTTTCTGAGCTGAGTCTTGGCTCTCTTCCCATTTTCCAGACTTCACTCCTCTGCCACGGTTCAGCAAATGTCTATTCTGTCAGGGGATCCTCTGTCTATGAACCCTGTCTGTCTTCAAGCAGCCTGGCGCTCCCCATCTCAACACTCACACACACACACACACACACACACACACACACACACACACACACACACACGATCAGCAGAGACCGACAGGGAGAGAGAGCTCTCATGAGAGCAGGAGGCACCTGGCTTTCCCTGAGTACAGGGACTGTGGGTGAGGGGACACATTGCAGGTGCTGTCCCAGCCTTCCTACTCTGTGCTGCCTTTGACACCTTTGACACGTGTGTGCGTGAGACTGAACACAAGGCACTAATGTGGAGGTCTTGCTCTGTTGGGTGAACAGAAGGAAAGAGATTAAATTCAACAGAGGATCTTTGGACTAAAAAGTGTGTGCAGGGGTGAGGGGTGGGGTGCGGATTTGGATTTGGAGACTCCAGCCAGAAGGACTTAGTTACTATAAATGTGCACCTTCCTGCCTTAGCACTGAAACCTATATGGAGCCTCTTGTGCGTTATTAAGCAGGAGTACAGGTCACATTCATTATCCTTCCAGTATGTGCTATCTATCATCCCTCCGGAGGCCAGCTGGGCAGGAGCCTATGCAGGGTCTGAGCCAGCATTTCAATGGACTTTCTTGGCCTCAAGCCACTTGTCCTGTGATGAAATCCCTTTAAGTTCCAAGAACCTCTATTAACACTCTAAATGGTGACTGTCACCTTCCTGGGCCACACAGGGGACACGGGGTATCTTGTCTGGACAGAAACTGGTTTGTCAGCACAGCTCCTTGTGTTCATTTGTGATTTACCATCTATAGCTCATTTATAACTTCTAATGCCCTAGCTGGGAAAGAGACCTGACATTCCTCCCGATTGACCCCCTTCCCTCCTTCTATGTGTGCCCTAAAGAATGGCCTCTCTGTCGTGCTGCTCCAAGCACTTGCTGCTTTTGCTTTTCCACCTGAGCTCAGATAACTCAGCATGGGACCACGGTTAGAACACTCAGGCCTGGAGGAATTCCACTCATTGCTCACAAATACAGCCCCACTCTGGGGTAGATGGAAAGCCCGTTTACAAACTTCAGCGGGTTTACAGTCACCCACTGAGATTCGGTTGAAAACTCTTCTTGACTTCTATTTAGGGTTGTGTTGCCAGAGTCAATTTCCAGTCACCGTTCACCTGGAAACTGGAAAGTGACCAGGGGCTGGGAAACTGTTTCTGAAAGTTTCTCATTTATGAGTGGCACCACCGGGCTGGATTGCCTTTCTTCCAGAGACAGCAACTCACAGGGTGTAGATAGGAGTTTTCAGCACCGTGTTCCTGAGTATGGGATGGCCCATCCCCAGTGTCAATGCTGGACAAGTCCATCCTGACCCACTGGCTGCCCAGAATTTAGATAACAACACAGGCCATGGTGGGGTTGGGTAGTAGACATTTAGAATATTCATCACCCAGTAAAGCATCATGCCTGCTGGACTACGCAGACATTACCACTCAGGTGCTGGGACATTTGGCAGCCTGGGTTCTGAGCAGCTGGGGTATTAAGGGTCTCCGAGGGGCATTGTCTAATCCAGAGGGGCAGTCTGGAGTGGGAGAAGAACATAGGACTTGAACTTGTAGGGTTCAGTGCATCCTTGGACCCTCTTTCTCATTTGCTCTTCATTGTAATGAAGCCACTGGAGGTCATATGAGAGCTTGGGGACATTAGTACTCTCCAGATGGAGTCTCTACTTGGGGCCAGCCTTGAGCACAAGAACTGAATAGTGAAGTGTGGGCCAGCTGACATCAGGCTGACCCTGTGATTCATTCTGCCCTGAAAGGATTCCCATTTATCTCCTAAGCCTTCTGGTGAAAGGGGATTCAAGCTTCAATGACAGTTTTCCATTCTCCCAAGTCACTGTGATTCCAAGGGCGAGGTAGAGTTGGCCTCAGATGTGTGACTGTGCAATTGGTGTGGGGACCTGGGCACCTCCGTCCGACTGCAGCTCCATGTGACCCACGTGCTCTGAATTCTCTTTCCCATTTTTGCCAGCCTGGCTGCCATCTCCATCCCTGTATGGTCTCATCATCGACTCCTCTTGTATCCGGTGGGACTACCTATGCTCAGGGAGACGAGGGGCCTGTTTGTATTATGACAGTGATGCTCTCCGAAACAGGTGAGGGCCCCTACACACACAGGTATCTGAGAGATCAGGCCTGCGGTTCCAGCAGACCAAAACAAGCAAACCAAAAAAACTCAAGCAAACAGAAAACCAAATAGGCATTTGCCTCATGGCTATGGCAGGGGTTGTCAGGCTTCTAAGGGACAAGAAGAGATGTCTCTGCAAACTCTGCCATGGACAGAGAGCAGGGGCCACCATGGCAGGCATTTGGAAACCTGTAAGGAGTCAATCAGGTAAGGAGACACAGGGTCTACATTGAAGTGTCCCCCAAGGTTCTGTCCCTCATGAACCCATAGTAGCAGAAGAGGTTCACCAAAGGTAAAGGGGTGCCTGGAGGCTGAGAGAGATTATGAATGTGAGAAAATACCACACCATCTCTAGTGCTCAGAGAGAGGGGAACCATAGCATGGCACCCAGCAGAGGTCTCAGAAAGGGGGTCCCAGTTGCTCTATGTCAGTGAGCCAAATCCAGCCATCTCTCCTACTGCTGCCATTCCATCACCCAGAATAGGTGGAGAAGGTGGGCTTGAAGGGGCCGCACAAGGCCTAGAAATACTGAGGACTGACAGAGAAGGCCAGCAGAGTTGTAAGATACAACTGGGGCAGCAGGGTCGTCTCCGGACCTCAATGGTACCACTGGAGAGCAGGGAATCGCTAGTGCTGTATGGATGTCTAAAGTGACCCCCACCTGGGAGGTGACAGCTTGTTAGCTGAGTGATGGTTTCACAGCTCGTAGGCCACAGTGTTCATCTTCTTGCTGTCCCTGGTCCGGGGACATGGGCTGAGGAGCCCTCCTCCCTCACCATTCCTGTCTCTTCCTGCCTTATAGGTACCTGGGCCTGCAGGTGGGCTACAAGGTCCTGGGAACACTGCTGCTCTTTTTCATCGGCTGGAGAGTCAAGAAGAATAGGGAATATAACCTGCAAGAGAACGCTTCAGGCCTCATCTGACCCTCAGTCAGGAGACTGCCTGTCACAGAGACTGGATCCTACCCCTCTACACCTGCCTGTATTAACTAATGTTAACATGCCCTTCCTTCCTTCCTCCCTCCCTCCCTCTCTCCCTCTCTCCCTCTCTTCCACTCTCCCTCCCTCCCTCTCTCCCTCTCTCCCTCCCTCCCTCTCTTCAATCCTTCCTTTTTTTTTTTTTTTTTTTGGTAAGAAAGACAGTTCCATTCACCCTTTGTCTCAGGGTCTCCTCCTCTGAAAGTCTCCCGCATGGTTCTTGAGGCCTGAGGTGTACTGAGCTGGATGACCACTGAGCTGGAGGGTCCAGTTTGCCCACCTCCTTGGGAAGGGCCCCCCACAGAGGCAGGCTCTCCTCAGCACTGGGTCCTCCAACAAGATGCCCATGAAGCAGCCCCTGCTCTCACTAGCCTCTCAGGAATACTTAAGAAGTGTGAGAACCGGGCTCCATGCTTTCTGTGCCAGGTGGCCCAGCTCTCCTCTGACCCCACGCCCTGCCCAGGGGCAGAGAGGAAGAGAAGGAAGTAGTTAACAAGGACATGGCTACGGCCGCTTTTCATCCGGATTCAGCCTAGCATGGAACCCAGGATGGGTTGGCTCCCTTAGTTTCCTCTCTTTCTGCTCCCAAGGCTGATTTGGAAACCACCATTTTGGGAAGTACAGGCTTCTCTATAACCTACACCCTGGTATCAGAGCAGGAACTACAGAACCAGAGGTCATCCAAACATTCATATGAACCTGAGGCCTCTCTACTCTGCTAGCGACATACACTTCTCTCGGCCTTTCTGGGCTTGTATTTCAACTGAGAAAGCCACAGGAGAAGACCCAGGGAGGGCCCAGTCTCCTACCCCACAGTGGAGAGCAGACCCTTCGCATTCAGAGACATGAGAGACCCTCCCCATCGTCCCCTGGAATCAGAAGAGCAGCCTCACATGGACTTCACTTCAGCCCATATGCAGAGGAGCAAAGAAGGCCATCTGAAATGCAGCCAGAGCAAGTGATGGAGCAGAATGGATGTCACCTGTCACTGCTCGAGGGCAAGCTGCAGCCCACACAGAGAGCAGCCAGGTTGGCCTGCTTGCAAACACATTGCATTCATTGGCATTTTCTCTGCTTCTTCTCGCTACCTCTGGGTGGAGGTGGGCACCTTCTGTGGGCCTGGGCTGGGGGCCACCACTGTTACACAACAGAGGGGCAAAGGCAGGAACCCAGGAAGGAAGGGAGACTCTTTACCAACAATTCTGTTTATTGGACTCTGAGATGGTGCTTGGCGGTGATATTCCATGGTTCTCTGAGAGCGCTCCTGTAAATCTTACCTCCATTCATACTAGGACCGCCTCCCGGAGGATGGGCAGCAGGGACACACTCACATACTAGCCAAGCATATCAAGTACCCAAAGATTGGCAGGGAAGACCCTGACATGACCACCCATGCCATTTAGGGCTCACAGACTGACTGTGCACCTGACCCTGTGTGAGATGGAGAACATGTCCCTGAAGCCGCTGGGCAATTGTCATTGTCCTATGTGACATTTAAGTGCCTTCTGGAAATGCCTTATATGGTAAGAAGCCAAAAGGTTTATGTCAGTGTGGTAAAGCTGCTGTGACACTGAAGTCTTTGTGGAAGCCATCGTTACTGACAGTGCTCTTTCTGAAGCCACCAGTTTTCCCCCCACAGATCTTACTTAGGAGGAGGCTCCGTGCAGCCTCATGGGCCAGTTAAGGCATGTGCAATGGTCCTGCTTGGAACCTGATCCCTCTGCAACTAACCCTGGGCTCACTCACTGCAATTTAAACAGATTGAAGGCATGGCCTTCAGCCAACCTCACAAACAATGAATGCCAATCTTCAGGTTTGAAAGATTGGTTGTCCCCACATCCTTTATTCTATTATATTGCTACTAATATATTATAATTTTGTTATGTGTGTAAGTTGGTCATGAATTTGTGTTGTCATGTGTCTATCAGAAAGCAGACAGAATTTGTACCTTCTAGACAAACAAAATCCCCATGCTTCAACCTTCAGAGGTCTGTAGCCAAGGGCACTTGAGGCCATGTCACTCTCAATCCATCTCCCTGGTGCTGAGTAGGCCCCAGATATTGCTTTTTATTGTGTGGACCCTTGGCTTGCTTTCCATGCAGGTCAATGTTAAAGACCCAGTAAAAATGGGCTCTTGGGAGGCCCAGTCACTGCCCTTGAGTTCATGTCAGAAGTGGAGTTGGTCACAAACAACTATATCCATGTATACCGTAATCATAGTTCATCATTTACTATTATCTAGCAAATCTCGCCTCTCAAACGCCAGAGGAGCTGTAAGGACGTCACTTGCTTTTCAATTAGAGAGCGAAGTGTCACACACTTTGACTGTACCATGCTCAAGATTACTGTTAAAATTGAGGAACACCCTACACAAAGCCTAAGTCCATATCTGTGCTTATAAAAGGGATCCAGAAAGTCCACTTTCCAGACAGATTTTGGTAGCCCTTGAACCCTGTGTGGTGGGTCACCTGTGCATTAGAGCCAAATTCGGTTAAATTGACTGTGAGCGTTGACAGTTACTAAGGGTGCCTTTACTTTGGAGAAGGCCAGGGTAGCAAGCCTTTGGTCCTTCTTGTTTCTCCATGGAGCCTAGAAGTCATGTACAGTCTGAATCAATGCCAGGGTCCCCCTCCTGGGCACAGCCACAGCTATACCTTTCCCTGTCACTCCATCTCCCTGACATCATCCAGCCTCACAAGGGAGGAACCAAAGAACCAGGAAATGAAGGGTCTGCAGAGATCCACCCCCTCTTTTGACTCTTGGAAGACGAGAGGGGCATCTCTATCAAGTGTCCTTTGGTCCAAAGCCTTCTGGTAGGATCTTCACCACAGTTCATTATGAAGGTCACACTGGTCGCAGGGTTCTATTTGAAAATGAAGAATCTTAGCCAGGCATAGTGGCATACACATTTAATCCCAGCACTTGGGAGGCAGGTAGATTTCTGGGAGTTCAAGGCCAACTGCTTTACATAGTGAGTTCCAGGACAGTCAGGTCTACATAGACCCTGGAGAGAGAGAGAGAGAGAGAGAGAGAGAGAGAGAGAGAGAGAGAGAGAGAGAGAGAGAGAGAGAGAGAGACAGACAGACAGACAGACAGACAGACAGACAGAGAGACAGAGAGACAGAGAGACAGAGAGACAGAGAGAGACAGAGAGGAGAGACAGACAGAGAGAGGGGAGAGAGAGAGAGAGGAGAGAGGGGGAGAGAGACAGACAGAGAGAGAGAGGGAGAGAGGAGAGAGAGGAGGGAAAGAGAGACAGAGAGAGAGAGGAGAGAGAGGGGGAGAGAGAGACAGACAGAGAGAGAGAGAGAGAGAGAGAGAGAGAGAGAGAGAGAGGAGAAAGAAGAGGGAGAGGGAGAGAGAGAGAGAGCATCCAGCAAGATCCACATCACACAGATAACTCTCCAGACTGTCCAGCCCCTTCTGGCTGCCCCAAGTCCCTCTCTCCTTCTGAGTCATCCTGAAATTAGGGGAAGCCTTAGGTAGTGAAAAGGCCCTCCTCTTTTTCCAGCACGGTCCATGGACTTGTGAGAGGGAAGTGGAGGGATCTCTTTAGGTTGGGCGGCAGAGACTGGGAGACCCAGGCACTATTTCATTTACCTGCCATCTAGTCAAATATTCCAAGAACGTTGTAACTACTCACGAGACAAGAGCCAGTGGGCTCTGTGGGCACCATAAGGTAAAGAACAGACATGGAGGGGGAGGGCAGAGAGGAGAGAACTCTGAGAAACAGTGAGGCACACAGACAGACATTTTGGGGAATCTCCCCAATCTGGTAACTAGTTATCACATTCTTGCTTAAGAAACAAAGCCATGTTGTATTTGTCTTCAACACTTTCAAAGATGGAGAGATGTGGCAAATCTGGGTCCTGAATTAGTGTCAACTTGTCATTAAAATATTGTATTGCAGCTTCCCAGAGTGACAGTGGTGTCAGAAAGAGAGAAAGGTTGGGGTGTGTGTGTGTGTGTGAAAGAAAGGGGGGGGGAATCTTTGTAAAAATCTCATCTTCCCCAGCCACAGGAACTGAACATTGGAGGAAAAATGTCCATCCCCTGCCAAGAGGTCCAGATTCATTAACCTTTCATCAGTAATTAAATATGTAAACAGGTTCCGGGCAAGCCCTTGGCAAATCATTAATGAGAAAAAGCCTTTCTCTCATGACAGGCCCTGCCCATTTATCAATCTCCACACCCATTCCCAGCCCTGTACTGTGTGGCCATAGGACACAGGACTCTCTACCTTGCTGAAGTCCCTGCTCCCTAGGCACCAGCTACACTTTGATAACAATAATAAAATGTGCATAGATCATTACAGTTTGCCAAGCCATGTGTTCGTTTAACGAACTCCTCAACTCACTCGGAATAGACTTGGCTAGGCTTCAGTGAGCCTCACTAGTCACATGACACAACACACATTTATCTCTTGTTTGCACAAAGTCCATGACTTGTCTGGGTGACTCTCTAGGGCAGTGGCTTCCGAGGGTGGCTCAGTATGCCAACTATTTGGACTTGAGACGCCTCTGTTTAATCTTCCACAATTAACGAGACAGGGAAGAGAGCTAGGAAGTTCTCACCTTGGTTAGCAAGTTCCCGGGCTCTTGGCCAGAACTATCCTCAGGACACCATCTAACTGTTGTACAAGCAGGGAAATAAAAACCATCGGTGGGCCAGGCGTTGGTGGCTCACGCCTTTAATCCCAGCACTCGGGAGGCAGAGGCAGGCGGATCTCTGTGAGTTCGAGATCAGCCTGGACTACCAAGCGAGTTCCAGGACAGCCTCCAAAGCCACAGAGAAACCCTGTCTCGAAAAACCAAAAAAAAAAACAAAAAACAAACAAACAAAAAAAAAAACAAAAAAACCATCAGTGTTCAGAGAGGAGCCGGGCAGATTTGGACAAATGCTAGACTCCTCCACCATAGGGAGTGATTCTTGGTGAACCAAGGTGCTAACTGACACCCCTCAACTATCCTTGCCAGGCTGTTGGAAGAGGAAAGGTTTCCCAGGAGAGGAAGCATCCACAGTGGGTCCCCAGGGATGAAAAGATGATACCCGGTCAAGGCCAAGGCTGACTTAGGGAGGAAAGTGGAGAAGAGAGGAAGGGGGGCTCAGGAGAGGTGACGGATAAAAGGCCGAGAGGCGGGCTCAGAAAAGGGCTCTCTTTAGTTGGCAGAGACTGAGGCACAGGATGAGAATACTGGGGAGCTAGAGGGAGGACGGATGATTGAGCAAGCCCCCCGAGGGGAGGAGTCTCACCCAGAACTTCTCTCTGAACGGCGAGGCCAGCAGGACCGCATCAGAGCACACAGATAAATGAGGTCCCTTCCAGCTGTCAATTATGCTTTGTTTAGTGGCTGGTGTGTGCAGGGACCAGACAAGACACACTCCTTGACATTGCAGGGTCTATACCTTGGGCAAGGAACAAAGACCCAAGCGCTCTGAAGTGAGTTGAGAAATCAGAAACAGGGGTGGGTCAAAAGTGTAGGCAGTGGGGACAGCAAAGTTATGAACAAAGGTAGTAAGGCCAGCAAACTTGGCGCATTCTGAGAGCTCACTGGTCAGGGGCCCCTGAAGGACAGTGGTAAGGCCAGGAGAGGGGTAGGGCCTAGGCCTACTAGCAAATTAGCAATCCTTCAGGGCTGGCTTAGACCATGAAGACTGCAGCCAGCTGGGTTCCGTTCTCTGTTCAAATCCTGGGGAAAGGTCTTAGAGGCCTGTCATGCCTAGCTCAGAATGGTGCCTAGCTCAAAACACAGCCCCAGGGCCCTGGAACGGGACCATTCCACCCCAGCGAGGAGAAAAGTCACCTTCTTAAGCAGCCCCAGTTTACTCCTGGGGGAGCTTCCATCCTTTACTGCAGCCAAAGTCGCCCTCCCCAACTTCCCTCCTATCTTCTCGCTCTTCAGCTGGGAGCTGGAACTCCAGGGATGTCATTGGAACAGTGGGGCAGGTTATCTTAACAGGTCCTCTGTTCAGGTTCCTTATGTATCTCTAAAGCCCTTCTCTGTGGGTCTGTCAGTACATCAACTAAAATGTGCACAGTCCCCGAATCTCTGGGTGACCTCAGAGGTCTCAGATGGGGACAAGAATTAGACCGAATGCTCTTACCCCTCACAAACACCAGTTTACAGGCAACCCGCACACAAAAGGACAAGAGCGTTCTCCCCTGGGCTCGTCCTGGGAAAAGGCAATTGGAATTCCAGTAAGGTTCCAGAAGCCAGGAGTACGTTTCAAGATCAGAGAACGACAGGCCCTCCGTGCTTTCTGAGCAAATCGTGAGGCGCAATTACCACTCTGTTTAATGACAGGGAAGCGGGTCTGGCTGCCAGGCCTAGAGGTGTCCGGCCTTGTTCTTGCAGCATAACCCATGCTCCCCACCAGGGGGCGCCGCTCAACTGGGCGGTGATGAGGTAACGTCACCCGAGGTCACCGTATCTAGGTTGGGGAGAGGATGTTCCTGCGGCCAGGGAGCTCGCTGAGAAGGGCACCCCTCAAACCCACCGCCACACTCTGGCACTCCAGACTCCCCACCTGAGCACCCTCGGCCCTGTGGGAGCGTACGACTTCCCCAGGCCCTGCTACAGAGGGAAATGTGGTCACTGCTGAATCATGGGACCCCACTCACGCGGTGCGGTCAGCCTCCCCACCATCTCACAGGCTGCAGCATTCAGCGGCTGCAAGGCACTAGGTCGCCAGTATTTACCAGTGCAGCTCTTGGGCCTCAGGAACTGGCCTCTGTCCTAATCAAAGGCACTGTCCACCTCCAGAAATGGCCCCTGTGCCCCCCTTGTTATCACTTTGTAGGCCATTCTGGAAAGGGCTGAGCTCCAGGGCCAGGGGCAGGGTGAACAAAACTATTGACGGCCCTTGCTCCTTGGAAGCAAAGACGGACATA